GGCAGTCCGCGTCCCCTCCAGCGCGCGTTCATTCATCATCCCGCTGGCGCCGTCATCCAACAAGCGCTCGACACAGACTCAGAAACACTCCAGCTAGAAGTGACCTTACAGAGTCATCAACAAATACTGAGGGACCATCGGATAGGTACCAGGCCCTGGGCTGGGTTCCCGAGATACTCCAGGCAAAAGCCCGGCCCTCTGGGGGCTGATATTTGTCAGTAACCAAGATCATGGCAGGTGGTGACAGGTGCTATGAAGCATATGCGGGCGGAAGGCGGGGGGTGGGGGTGGGGGGGGAGTGTTGATTCAGATGCCAGGGCCAACCCCAGACCTCAAGAGACAGAGTCTCTCGGGATGGCGCCACCGAAATCTGCACTTGATAAGGTACTTCTTGTTCCAACTACGATTTGAGAACAACCGAATTCTAAAGAGGTGTTAGCATGACCCCACATTCGGTCGTTCACTCAACAGACACGTATTAAGCACCTACCACATGCCTGGGGTTGGGGAACTCAAAGATGAAAACGGCGGGGGGGGGGGGGGTCTGATCTAATTCTCTGAGTCTCAATGTCCTTGACCGTGAAAAGGGAATGACAGTCTCTATCCCTAGGTTCTATAACTGGGAGGATGGACAGAGATAACTGCACCAGCAAGAATCCTGAGTAAAGCAAGTGGACAGGACCTACTTGCACTCTCTCCTTGCTGTGGAATGAGACACTTCCGAGTCCGGCAAGGGACATACACACATGAGCAGGGAGGCATGGGCCGTGTGGTCAGAGAGAGGAAAGAGCAAGTAACCCTGAGTCCGAAGTCTTGTGGTTGTCTTTACCAAAACAAAAGACTATCCAAGTCCCCAAGACATTAAGAACAATTAGGTAATGGCACAGACGGCTGGCCAAAGGCTGTAGGAAATGAGCGAATGAATGAATGCCCTCACGTTTCAGATGAGGGCTCTCACTATGGGAGAAGGCAAGGGAGATGGTCTTGGATTGGGATTTGAAGCACTGACATGAATTTATGATTTTTAAAAATACCTATATCTCACCTTTGCTGAAAAGACCTTCAGGTACTGGTATTTCAGTAATAACTAGGCACACCCAGAGCCCATATAGCGGTTTCTCAATACCTCCCAAGCAAAAGGAACCAGACTTTCTTGGGGAAAAGGCCAATTCCAGGGCTGGACAAGAAAAAAAAAAAAAAAGTACAAAATAAGCCTAAAACTCTTGTTGGGCAAAAAAATAAAGTATGAAAAATGATGGGATAGGTCCAAAGGACACGGGGCTAGCTTGGAAGGCCAAATCAGGAAAACTTTGTGTATAACAGACAAAAATAGGAAACGCTCAAATGCCCATCAGAGGTAGACTGTGATATACTCGTACAATGAAACAGAGGTAGACTGTGATATACTCGTACAATGAAACAACTACACGGCGATAAAAAAAAAGTTACTGGTATGTGCAACAACAGAGGTGAATTTCACAATCAAAATGATAAACAAAGTAAGCCAAACAGAAAAGGCGATATGTTGTATGATTCCATTCCTACACCATCCAAGGACAAACAAAACTCATCTATGGTGATGGAGGTCAGAGAAGTGCTTAATTTGGCGCAGAGGGAGGGGGTTGCCTGGGAGTAGACACAAGAGTATCTTCCAGAGTGTTGGAAACATTATACCTCGCTCTCGGTGATGGTACATGATGATATAGACACGTGTGAATATGGTTACACATGTACCTGTATATGCAGGGCCTGCTTCATGGTCATGCAGCCCGCGGAGTCATATCCAGAATGGCCCTGCACTTGGGGTTTCATAGTCTGTGGTCACTATCTTGAAATTCTTAATAATTTTGTCTTCGAACTTTGCTTTATAAATGAAGTCTGATGGGGGCAATGGAGCATGTGTCGAGGGCTTGGAGCCTCAGCTCATGAGTAGTCCCACCTCCTGCCACCTTCCCAGAACAAGTTCTTTACTACCCGCTCCTGTCCTGTGGTGCTCTAACTCGGCCCAACCTCTCTTCTCGCCCCTGCCCCGTGACCATGGGACCAGCGCATCCGCGGAAAGAGGGTTTGCTCTGATGCTGGGGCATCCTGGTCATTTCTGTCCTGGACTAGCAGCACCACAGCACATTTGGTGGATGAATCACAAAGGTGAGCCTCTCCTGGGGCACCTGGGTGGCTTTTAGTGGCACTTTTTCTCTTTTTGTACAAGGGTCCCTACATTTTAATCTTGTACTGGGACCTGCAAATTATGCCCTATATAGATGTACATGCAAAAAAAATTATCAAGGTATACACTGGAGATTTGTGTATGTACGTTATACCTAGATAACAATTTACTATGGCTATGTACATATGCATTTATCCTAAACCGGAATATTTTAAATGAGCATATTTTAAAATGAATTAGGGGGGCGCCTGGGTGGCGCAGTCGGTTAAGCGTCCGACTTCAGCCAGGTCACGATCTCACGGTCCGTGAGTTCGAGCCCCGCGTCGGGCTCTGGGCTGACGGCTCAGAGCCTGGAGCCTGTTTCCGATTCTGTGTCTCCCTCTCTCTCTGCCCCTCCCCCGTTCATGCTCTGTCTCTCTCTGTCCCAAAAATAAATAAATGTTGAAAAAAAAAATTTAAGAAAAATAAATAAATAAAATAAAATGAATTAGGAAAGGAATGATAGAAAAAAAAGAACCCATGATTCCACACTGAAACTAAGAAATAATTAGAGAAAACTGTCCTTTCCAATAAAATGGCAACTAATAAATATTAAAGGAAAGATGGAGTTCTAAAATCACCATTTTTCAGCCATTACAGTAACAGATAAGTATATCGTTTGAAGCTAAAACCATCATTGGGTGAAGATTTGTTGAGGAAGATGGTATTTTTCCAGTCTCAGTGCATCTACCCACAGATTACTTGTCAATTACTAAGGGAAAAAGGTAATTTAATAGTGGAGAAATCTGGCAGACATCGTCTGAACCAAGTGATCAAAATAAACATCGCTAATATCAGACAAACTGATGCCTTGTGGCTCCTGATGGGATGTACTGAGAAGGACGTAGAAATACTTGTGTGGTTTTTCTACCAAACATTCATATCCTGAATCCAATAATAGGGAGAGAACACAAAACCTAAGCCAAGGGACAGTCTATAAAACCACAGACCTGTACACTTCAAACATGTCTGTGTCACGAAAGGCAAACAAAAAGCTGAAAGGAATGTTCTAGATTAAAGAAGACCACATATATTTGACAACTAAATGTGACTTGTGACTCCAGATGGGATACTGGATCATGGGAGAAAAAAAAGCCATAAAGGACATCATTAGGACAATTTGCAACATATGAATATGGGCTGTACGTTAGCTGGTAATATCGTACTAATTTTAAATTTCATGAATTTTAAAACCGTACCGTGGTTGTGTCAACAATGCATTTTTTTCTTACAAGGTACATACTTAAGGATTTGGGGGGTGTGGAATCATGATGTCCACAACTCATCGTCAAACGGTTCTAAAGAACGGCCACACTTAACACCAATGTGAGTGCACGTGCACATATACAGTGAGAAAACATGTGGCAAATGCCACAGTTAGAGAGTGTAGCTGATGGTATGCGTTCGTTGTTTCATTAGTTTTCTATGACTGCTGTAACAAATTGCCACAAACTCAGTGACTTAAAGCTTATTATCTGATAGGTCCATTAGGCCAGACGCCTAATGAGGGTGTCACTATGATAAATCAAGGAGTCCACACAGCAGCTGCACTTCTTTCTGGAGACTCTGGGGTTAGATTCACTGTCTTGCCTTTTCTGGCCTCTAGAGGCCGCCCAAACTCCTTGGCTTGTGGCCCCTTTGTCCCATCTTCAAAACCAGCAATGGTGGGTCTGGTCTTTCTGACATTATATCACCCTGACACTGACTGACTCCTCCTTTGCATCCCTCTTCCACTTAAAAAAAATTTTTTTTAACGTTTATTTATTTTTGAGAGAGAGACAGAGCATGAACGGGGGAGGGTCAGAGAAAGAGGGAGACACAGAATCTGAAACAGGCCCCAGGCTCCAAGATGTCAGCACAGAGCCCGACGCGGGGCTTGAACCCACAAACCATGAGATCATGACCTGAGCCGAAGTCAGGTGGTCAACCGACTGAGCCACCCAGGCGCCTCCAAATCTCTGGACTTTAAAGGTACAGAGATCGGGGCGCCTGTGTGGCTCAGTCGGTTAAGCGTCCAACTTCGGCTCAGGTCATGATCTCACGGTCCGTGAGCTCGAGCCCCGTGTCGGGCTCTGTGCTGACAGCTCGGAGCCTGGGGCCTGCTTTGGGTTCTGTGTCTCCTTTTCTCTCTCTACCCCTCACCTGCTCATGCTCTGTCTCTGTCTCTCAAAACTAAATAAACATTTTTAAAAATTTTTTAATAAAAAAATGAATAGCAAAGTTGGGAGGTTCATACTACCTGATTCCAAGACTTACTAGAAAGCTATTTACCTTAAGGCTATAAATCAAGGCAGCATAGAATTGACATAAGCACAGACATACAGATAAATGGAACAGGATACGGAGCCCAGAAATAGGCACATAGAGATAAACGATTGATTTTGGACAAAGGTATCCTTAAGAAGCAGAAAACAGAAGTTTCTTATGAGCCAAAGCTGCCCACCAAGGCCTGGTCTACGCAGTGGGTAGTGACGGCTACATCTCTGGAGGTGTTTAAGAGGCTGGATAGCTTTCTGTCCTGAACAGACGCCTCCCAAGGTGGATCCCAAAGTTCTCTGCCCTGGGATCCCCAAGGCTGCCGAGGCTGCAGGGAAGCGGCCGCTGGTTGCTGTCCGTGGTGCTGAAAGCGCACAGTTCACTGCATCCTACTGCCCTCCCAGTCTGGGATTCTGGGTATTTTCTATTTGCATGTACTATCCAATCTTTAAGGATAAGTACTCGTTTATTATGGAAATGTCAAACATCTATAAAATTAGAGCAAGTAGCATAATGAACTTCTGTGAACTCATCACCCAGTGTCAACTGTTATTGATCCCCGTTTCATTAGCTCCCCATCCAGATTATTTTGAAGCAAATATCATATATTATTTCATTCATAAATATTTCAGTATAGATCTCTAAAAGACAAGAACTCCTTGTGAACATGTTCCCAATATATGAACACAACTAAAAAGCAATGGATATTCCTCAACATCACCAAATATTTGGTTATTATACAAGATCAGATTCATGGATGCGATTCAAAGCTCAGAGGAGTTGAGGTAGCTGCCTGGGGATACCTAATGTAGCCAGGACTTAGGGCTGGGACAGAGATCATCCCACCAGCATCATATGACCCCAGCCAGATTGGCACATACTAGCCTGCCTGCCACAGATGACATTTGACATTAAGCAATTCTGAGACACAGATTGCTGGTTCAGGCAGGTGTTCACACGCACAGAATTGTCCCTGAAGACACCAGTGCCTAGGACACTACAGGCTCCAATCACACTCCTGCCCAGACAGGTGTCTGTGCCAAGATCAATTACATCAGAATTTCTGCAGAAGAGTCCTCGGCATCAGTATTTTCCACCCAGCATTCTAGTGTGCAGACAGAATAGAACTATAGCCTGACCTGCGTTTGAATGCTAACCCCACCACTGACTGGTGTCTGGGACAAGGCACTTCACCTCTTTGAACCTCAGATTTTTTTTGTGGGTTTAATTTACCATGGGCCTCCTCCAACCTGCCTTTGCACCTGCAGAATCCTCTCCTGGAATAACTTTCTGCCACCCCAAATTCTAGGCTTCCATGAAGACCCAGTTCAGAAACCCATTCCTCTGTGGTTAATCTCCTCCTGGAACCATCTTCTAATACAGTAGTATTAATTGTCCATGTTATGGGCTCAGAGCAGAGCTGGAGCCTTTAGAAACAAGTTAGTCCAGCCCCTGATTTTAAAGACAAGGAAATGAGGAATTGATCAAGTACAGAACTTGCCTGGTATCACAGAGCAGGTGCACAATGAAGCTTTAATGGTCTGGGAATCTTTCTGTTTCCTGGAGCACAGACTTTGGCATTTCCAGCTCTACCACTTGCCAGTGAACATAAAACTTTCCGTACCTCAGTTTCCTCATCCACAAAATGCAGAGAATGTTGCCAACTTCCCAGCGTTGCTGCGAGGATTGAGATAATAAACTTTGTAAAGTGAGTGCACTCGTAAGGGCTAGATTCCCTATTACTCCCACAGAGATAGCAACAGGGGCAGGTGAGCTCCTTGGAGCAGGGCTCTGCCTCAGGCATCAGGACATACCCAACAGACATTGGCACTCTGAAAAGCAGGCGGGGGTGGGGGTTCTGCAGCTGGCCTGGAACTGTGACTTGACAATGGGAGCCATGGCCGCACCAAGGCTCCAAGGCCCAGAGAGGTCCTTGGCTGGAACGCTGGGAGAAAGGGGAGGGTGGTGGACCCATGACTTTAGTTCACCTGATGGGAGACCATGGCGTAGGTCCAGAGAGGGTTCTGGTATCACACAGGTCTGGGTCCCATCAAGCTCCCCTGAGTTTCTTCCAGACTATGCCCCACCCGGGGGTGATGTGAGGCTCAAAGGAACCCCAGTGGTCCCCCCAGCCTGGTGCCTCCCACAGAGCAGATGTGAAGTTAGTGATTTCACTTCCTGCTGCTTCTTTCTGAGCAGTAATTCCTACCATATGATGTTCGTCTACAAGAACATTTACTTTCCTCAAGCTAATACTTCATGGGGTTCGTGTTACTATCTCCATCTTACGCAAAGGGACCCTGAGGCTCAGAGAGGCGAAAGGATTTCCCTAGCTCGCGCAAACGCGCAGTTGCAAATGCGGAGTTGAGGGATGGGACTCAAACCCAAGTCGACCTCAGTTCAGAGCCCCAGATCCCACCTCTGCTCTGTAACACCTCAAGGCTCTGTGCCGGGAGGCTTTCTAGGTAACAAGCCAGGGAACTCTGACCTGGATCAGCTCCTGGGCTGTCTGCTTTATCAGCCGAGCCACCTCCAGGTTCAAGGAGGAACACGAGACTGCTGATGGATGGCGGCTCAGTAAAGTCCACAGGAGTTGCCTGGGCTCAGCTCATTCATTCTGAGGCTACATCAATAGAGGCAGCGACCAGGAGGTGGGAAGGGAAAGGCAACTTAGGTCCAGTAGTGGTCATACCATATCAGAGGCAGCACTGGACCCCATACTCCTAGAGGGATTTGAACAAACTAGGGATAAGTGGTTGTAGTTTGCTGAGCAGCAAGTCCGGGTTAGGGATGTTCCTGAGGAGGGGTTGTAAGGCACAGGCTGTTCATCGTGGAGAAGAGCAGCCTCGGAGGGACCAGATCCCCACCTTTCTAGCCCTGCCAGGCTGTCTTCAGGCAGAGGGAGCAGGCAGGGTCCGTGGGCCCAGAGTGCAGAGCTGGGACCAAAGGAGAAAGCCACAAACAGATTTTCAAGCTGCATGAGAAAATGTCTAAGAGTTCAGGAGGAAAGAAATCAGGGAACACTGACAAACTGTAAAGCACTGTGAGCGATACTCGTGAACAATCTCTGCAGCCACAGTTGCGCAGAGGTGACGTGAGCCACAAATACTAGAGACCAAAAAGAAGTTTTCGGAGAAGAGCATTATCAGCAATTGCGATATTCAACCATGTAAGCTACAAACACCTGGCAACATGCTGCTCAGAAGGATGATGGAGAGGAAGGTGGGAGCAGCCAAGGACCTTTCTCCATCTAAGACACAAAACAAAGCTATGGGAGCGGAGAGGGCCGTGGGGCAAGCCCCAAAGCACCTATGAGAGAGGGGGTGATAAAGGGAGGTGTGTTTGCCCTCCTGGATGGAGGACAGAGAACAGGGGGGCAGGAATATTCTCAGAGGCCTCCTGAGCCTCTAGATTCTCAACCTGGAGACCCAGGGGGCCAGTCATCCCCTCTCCAGAAATCCCAAGCCCCGCACCTGGGAGTGGACACAAGGCATCCCAGCTCTGTGCAGAGAGAATCCCTGGAGCTTAAAGATCACTTGACTCGAGGTAGGACAGGCCCCTTCTTGCTGCAGGGGACAATATCTGTGCCTGTCCCCACCCAAGTGTGACAGCAAGAGGGGACAGAAGCCCACCCAGCCTCAGTGGATCCTGGGGATGAGTGGGGAGGTGGGTCCTCCTACATATCCTAACTCTCTGGGCCTCTTCTCTCCCTTTCAAACCCCACCCCCACTCCAGGCCCTCCAATGCTCCACTCACCCCCTCTACCCTCACCTATCTGCTTCCCTGCTCCCAACCTTCCAGGGACTGCCCAAATCCAAAGTCCTGATCACACGGACAGTGCCCTCTGTGACCCAGCCTCTGCCTACCCTCCACCTGCGCACCCCGTCACTCACGCAGCTCCAGGGACACTGGCTGCTTTCTGTGGCTGAAACACCCCGACCTCATTTCAACCTCAGGGCCTTTGCACTTGCCGTTCCCTCCGCTGGCAAAGCTCTTCCCTCCCGCTCTTTGCCGCAGGTCTGAGGCCTCACCCCCGACACCATCTTCTCGGAGACGTCTTCCTGGACCACTGATGCGATGTCACTCCCACCCCAACCTGCCATCATTTCCATCCCGTCTTGCCCCTCTCTTCACAGCACTGCCGCTCCTCAGATGATCTTATTTGCACATTCTTCTGTTGGCTGTTTAGCAGGTGCTCCTGCACCCACGCCAGAATGCAAGTTGCGTTTGCGGCTGCGACCCCAGAGCCTACAACCCATTAAGTATAAATCAAATGAGTGAACGAACGGATGCATGAATGGTTCGTGATCTCTTTTCTTCAGATTTATTCCTTTGCTTCCTTTTCCTCTAGCTCATGCCTCCATTTCTCCACTCTCTACTCTCTGCCCGAGAGAGAAAGGGGCCCGGGAGTGGGGTGTGTGGAGGCACAGCTCCGCCATGAGACTTCTCAAGCAACAAGGGGATAGTGCCACAGTGCTGGCAGCCAGGGGCCCTTGGACACCCCAACAGGACACACAGAGGTGGGATTCTCAACGTTTATTTATTTTTGGGACAGAGAGAGACAGAGCATGAACGGGGGAGGGGCAGAGAGAGAGAGTGAGACACAGAACCGGAAGCAGGCTCCAGGCTCCGAGCCATCAGCCCAGAGCCCGACGCGGGGCTCGAACTCACGCGAGATCACGCGAGATCACGCGAGATCGTGACCTGGCTGAAGTCGGACGCTTAACCGACTGCGCCACCCAGGCGCCCCTAGAGGTGGGATTCTAAGAAGACTGTAACCCCTCTCTCTCCTCGCACCTTCCTATCTCCTGGTTGTGGGGGCTCCCGCTGTATGGACCCAGTAGGAAATCATCAGAGATCAAGGTTCCTGGAATGAGGCAGGCCGTGGGGGTTACCCTGGGGCTAGTGCAGGACAAAGGAGGTCAGAGAAAGGATCCCATCATTTCCATTTGCCTTCCCATCTCCGGTATGAGCATATGCATTTTCTCCATTTCCTGTAAGGTGCCCTTCAAACAGCTCAGCAACACCCCCAATCCTGCTTCCCAGCCCATGCTGCCCCCAAGCCCCTTGGCACGGAAATTGCGGAACCAAGATGGGTGTCTCAGCTCCTGCTTTCCTTTTTCCCTCTGATGAGACAGGGGCAGGGTGACCTGGATACAGTGACCCAGGGACACACCAACGGGCTGGGCCTCTCCCAAAAAAGGAGTCTTTGGGCCCCAGGGAGCTGGCTCCAAGGAGCAGGGGCTCCAGAGGGGCTGGTGGGACTTCCTTTGGTTCCTGGGGGTCACCCCACCCACCCAGTCAGGGACCAGAGTCTGAGAGGAAAGGGAGGCTGTCCCCTCCATCGTCCACTCGGCAGACAATTCCAGTGCCGGCCCTGGGCCGAGGGTTGGGCTCTCAGCTCTGGGAGACGAGCCAGGACTCAAGGACTGGAGGCAGATGTGGGCACAGGATCAGGGCCAGGGCAAGGGCCAGGGGAGGCCAGTCACTGGTCTGGCTCTCTTTGTGCCCCTCAGGCCTGATGGGGAGGTCTGGGCTCCTTGGCCGGGTCCACAGGAGGAGGTGCCCCAGGCTGGAGGGGGCTGGTGACCGGCAAGCTGCGGAGGAAGCAGAAGGCGGCGAATGCAAAGCTTTCAGAGCCTGGGGCTGGACGAAGGGCAGGGGGAAGCCGTTGGGGGGAGGGGGGGGGGCAGCCCTCGCATCCAGTGAAGTCCCTCTGCCCCCAGATCCTGCCATGAGGAAGGCCCCGAGCCCCTCGTTCCGGCCACACTGGGGTTCCCGGCATGGCCCAACAAGTGTCTGTCGGGTGGGTGGGAGGACATCAGGGTCTCCAGCCAGTAGGGAGGCAGGCTGACCTGGAGGGACATCTGGAAGGCTGTCGGAAGGGCTGGCTGGGGTCTGGCAGAGCAGGGGAAGCCACTCGGCCCGTGAGCCTGGACCCTGCCTCTGTGAGCAGGTCCAGCAGGCCGACCGGTGTGGCCGGTCAGCTCCTCCAGCCAGGCCCAGCACAGGTCTGACCCACGGCGGTGACCGAACACAGGCGCCAGGGACCGCGCGGGAGCGCGGGGAGAAGGACGCGGAAGGTGTGCCGCCCTGCCTGTCCAGGATCCAGACAAACAGCCTTTCTCCGCCAGGGACCCGGCTCCCCCTCCGCCCCAGGCCCGTCCGCCAACCTCACCTGAACAGCCTGCGGAGCTGGTCCTTCGACCTGGAGCAGATCCGGAGGCCCAAGCTCTGCAGCTCACCCTGTATCCACCCCAAGTCGGCCGGCACATCCGGAAGCCATGCCACCAGCCTGGAGGAAAGGGCAGCAAACAGCTGAGCCCGAGCGTCCGGCCCAGCAGAGCCCCCCCTCCCCGCGGGCCCGGGGCAGAGCCGGGTGCCTCCCTGCACCCGAGGCCCCAGGCCCAAAGGAAGTGAAATAGGGGGTGAGAAGCCCCCGCGGTATCGGCCCCGCCACGGAGCCGGGTAGCGACTCCACGGGAAGCCCAAATGGGAAAGGGCGGGGCTCTGGGGTCAGGCCACCTCGGGGTTGTGGCCCGGCCCCCCTGCTCATCAGCTGGGTGCCCTGGGCAGGTCAGGGAACCTCTCCGGGCCTCAGTTTCCTCACCCGCCTAAAGAGGACCGTCACCTGGCCTAGAGTCCCTAACCTCCTTCATATCTCTGCCCCACCCTCTCCTCCCCAGACCTGCCCTCCTTCCTCCACAGCCCTCCATCCACTCTCCTCTTAGCACCAGTGACTTTCCTGAAACATACATCTGATCGTAGCCCAAACCCTCCCGTGGCTCCCCATGTGCCGGGTCAGCAGAGGGCCAGCTCATCCAATTATGGCTGAGAGCGTGCCTGGCTGGGCACCTTCCCAGACTCACGGGACACTGCAGGGCCTCACTCCCAACGTGTCGCCTTTAGCAGAGCTTCTAAACCAGGGCCTTGAACTGGCGCTCCACAGGGTGTCGTATGAGAAGCAACACGTAAGTAGACCATCACCTCCCTTGTTCTGGACCTTCTATCTCTATTATTGTAACCTGCATGTGCATGTAGGTTACAGAGAATGCTAAGGAAGAACTTCCCTGTGGTCTGAACAAGTTTTCCCATCAGTGCTCGTATCTGGACTTTTGTTTTTTGTTTTTGGCTGAAAAGGTTAGACTTTGCATTTATCCTTTTTGACTTCAGCCTGTGGTTTCAACCTAACAGCTCAGCACGAGGAGAATCTGAGTCAGCAGAAAGCTCTCTCCTGGCTTTGGGCCACTGGCAATTTCAGCATCAGGGCTGATCCAGTGGCCCAGTGTCATAGACCTCTTAGAGAATAAAGAATTTTTTTTTAAATGCAGTTCTCCCCGTGACACTTCCCTACTGAAACCCTGCACTGTGTTCCCACCACTGTTAGGATGAAAACCACAGTCCTCACTTGGCTATAGAGCCCCGCATGTCTAGCCCCTGCCAGCCACCACCACACCACCTCACCACCAGCCCCGTCTTGTACAGCACCCCACCTTTTGGTTCCAGCCACACTGGCCTCCAAAGAGCCTTACTTCCTCTGCCTTCTGCCCCAGGACCTTTGCATATGTTGTTCCATCCGTCTGAATGCTTTGCCCTTCCCTCTTTGCCTGGTGGACCCATCCTTCAGATTAGGACTCAAAAGTTACTTCCCTTAGGCAGCCTTCCCTGACCAGATTGCCCCTAGTGTGAGCTGTCTCAGTTCACAGGCAGTGTAGACCTCTTTTAGGAAACACAGCCAGTATAGACCTCTCTAGGTACCTCTGGACAGAGGTGTGATTGCACAGAGGTGTGATGGTTCATGGGCTGCGAGCTCCACAGGGTGAGGGGCTAGATCTGAGTCAGGGCTGCCTCCCTATCCCCAGCCAAGCCCTGGCCAGGCCCTCAATAACTACTGGTGGAATGAATAAACCAAAAATGCAGAGTGATTCATTAGTCAGCAAAGTTAAAATGGTTAGTGAGGGCTTAGCCACAACCAGTCTGTCCTGGAAGGGCCTTGTTTTTTTTTTTTTGTTTTGTTTTGTTTTTTATGTTTATTTTTGAGAGACAGAGACAGAGACAGAGCATGAACAGAAAGGGGCAGAGAGAGAGGGAGACACAGAATCCGAAGCAGGCTCCAGGCTCCGGGCTGTCGGCACAGAACCCGACGCGGGGCTCGAACCCACGAACCGTGAGATCATGACCTGAGCCGAAGCTGGATGCCACCCAGGCACTCCATGGGCTTTGTTTTACAGAAAAGGAACTGAGGCCCAGAGAGGTCAAGAGACCTGTCCCAGGCCACACAGCTAATCTGAGCCAGACCCCCCTGGAGTTATTTCCCCAGACATAGCGCATTTTCTCTGAGGCTCTAACGGGTAGAGCAAAGGGCCAAAGGGCCTAGAGACAGGCGAGCGGCCAAGGTGCTGAGCCGGGGGTCCCATTTCTGATCAGTCGGTCACAGCTGCTACACCATCTCCCCAGTGGTCCCGTCTCGCAGGGGGAGACCACCGAGACTCCTCTGGGCTGTGTGACCAAGACTGAGCAGCAGGGGAGGCCAGCCAGGCCCTGCCCACCCGGCACGCCGGCTGCCCCTCCCGCCATGGGCACTGGTCTCCGCCACAATCCGGGACGAGCCAGGCCCCTCCCAGGAGCCCTGGCTGGGCCTCACCTTCTGCTCCGGAAGTAAACATACTCGAAGGGTAGCGTCCAGGGCAGTAGGAAGTAGGTCAGGGCCCGCCCGGGCCCTGACCGACAGAATTGGGCCCAGGGGCTGGTGTCCCTCATACATGCTTTCTTCAGTGCTACGAGAGAAGCCGTGGCGTGACCAGCCAGCCCTCCAGCCAGCACCCCCTCCACCATCACCCTTAGGGAAGGTGGCCTGAACCCCTGTCCACCTCACACAGTCTGCAAACTGCGCCTGCCCCCCGCCCCCCATCTGCAGAGGGGAAAAACAAACAAACAAACAAAAAAAAACGGCACGCCTGATCAAGCCCCTCGCAGGAGCCGGCAGGGGGCGAGGCACTCAGGTCGTGCTCTCGCATCAGTGTCCCTGATGTTGGCAGGGCGTGCCCCTGTCCCAGATGAGGAGACTGAGGTTCAGAGTGGAGAAGCGACTTGCCCAAAGACCATCCCAGGAAGAGGCAGGGCCAGGGTGGACCCAAGGCCTGCCAGGCTCCCCGAGCTCTTTCCATCTCTAGATGGCCGTCTAGAGACGGCCACTTGGAGGGGTCACAGCACGGCACCAAGACCCAGCTGCTCGTTTACCTGCCGCGTGTCCCAGGATGGGTCCCTTCCCTTCCCTGAGCCGAGGCTACCTCCTCTGAAAAGGATCTCCCTCCCAGGTAGGCAGGAGAGGATTAGGGAATGTCCGTCAAGGCTTGGCCAGCTCAGTCCCAGGGGCGTGCTGGCTGTGACGCCCCATCCCAGAGGCGGCTCTCTGGTGCCCCCACGTGGCGGCAGGGATGCTGCCTTGGTTCCAGAGCTCCAAGCTTGGACCTCAGGGGCTCAGCACAGATCCAGACCCATTTCCGCACGCCCGTCTGGTCTCCGGCGCAGGAGGAGGCTGCGTCCCCTCGCCCACCCACACTGTCCTTGCTCTGACCTCAACCACCATCGTCTCTGCTTCCAGCCTCCCCACCCCCACCCGTAGCCTGTCCCACCCCAGCTAGGTGCAGTGAACACAGGATCTAGAGTTCAGAGAAGTACTCAACTCTGAAAAGGAGGGGGTGCCCTCTCCCCATCTCTCTCCTCCTGCAGTTTCAAAGCCACCTGCCTGACCCTCCCAGCCTCTGCTCCCCTGCCCCTCAACCACAATGCTGTGGCCACAGGGGTCTCCAGCTGCCCCCACCAAACCCAGGACATTTGCACATGCTGTACCTTCTGCCTGGCCACTCGTCTGCCCCCTTTTGCCTGGCCACCATGCCTCCTTCCAAGTCTCACTTAGATGCTGTTCAAACCCACGTCCCCGCCACCATTACACATGCCTGGACTTTGCTGTTGTGGCGGTTGTGACTCTGGGGTCACTAAGCAGGAGAGCAGACTAAATGGTCCACAGCAGAATGGTTCGCTGCTGTGGCAGTTTGTTAGCTGTATGACTTTGGACAAGTCACTTAACCTCTCTGTGCAACGGTTTCCGTACGATGGGGATAATTCGGTGCCATCCTCGTGGCATTGTTGGGAGGGTGAGATGAGCCCATCGTCATGTGTGGAGAGTCCAGAACCCTCTGTGTGTGACTCTCTTAGGTCCCTCAGGACTTCCTGCGCTTCCCCTGGGCAGTGGGCAAAGACCTGGCTTTCTGAGGCACGGATTTGGGTGTGAATCTCCCAACCGCCTCTCTGAGCTTCAGTTTCCTCATCAGTGGAATGGGGCAAGAAAAACACCAGGGTTGGGGCGCCTGGGTGACTCAGTCGGTTGCACGTCCGACTTCGGCTCAGGTCACGATCTCACGGTCCGTGAGTTCGAGCCCCGTGTCGGGCTCTGTGCTGACGGCTCAGAGCCTGGAGCCCGTTTCAGATTCTGTGTCTCCCTCTCTCTCTGCCCCTCCCCTGTTCATGCTCTGTCTCTCTATCCCCAAAATAAATAAACGTTGAAAAAAAAAATTAAAAAAAAAAAAGAAAAACACCAGGGCGCACGGTTGTGGGGCGGAGTGAGTGACACAACAGGTAAAAAGGCCTTCGCATCACACTTGGCACTCGGGAGACGCTCAGTAAATGAGTCCTGTCCTCTTCCAGGCCGCGAGGCCCTTCAGGGTAGGGTCCCTGCCCCCAGGCCCCTGTGCGCAGGGCACGTGGTAGGTGAGCAAGGGCATGAAGGAAGGGCAGTACCAGCCTCCAGCTCTGGTGAGAGCCGCTCGAAGTCGGGCACGTCCTTGACCAGCACGTTGGGCACTGACCAGTTGACAGACAGGCCCCCCTTCTGGCCACCGTCATGGTCGGTGTCCTGGGTCCCATTCGCGGGGGCTGGGGGCTCCTTAGACACCAGCATGCAAAGCACTGGTTCCTTGGTAAGTCCTGGGTCAGCAGAGAAGAGGGACACGACAGGTCAGCACATCTGGAGCTCCCTGGCGACAGTGACTCCCCTGGCCCTCCACGCCACCTGCACCTCTCAATCCCCAAACCCAGCTCTGGGGACCTGCTCGCTGCCGAATGGACCTGCGGCTCATCCTGAACGACCTCTTCCTGCTCTCCCCTGGCCCTTCTCTGCTCCCTGTTTCCCGTGCACTTTCTAGTGGTTAATCAGATCCCAGACCATGACGAACCGGTCCAAGGTTCAAATCCTGACGCCAACACCTGCTAGCTATGTGGTCTAGGTGCTCAACGCTTCGGTTTCCCTCTTTGACAAAGGAGAAAATTCTAGTCTGCTTTATGGGGTTGTTCTGAGAATTGAACGAGACAAATACCTAAAGCTCAAGCCCAGATCTGGGCACATTTTAAGCGCTCAGCAGATCCTTCCCGCTGCTGTGTGTTTGGGGCTGTAGTGTGGAGGGTAAAGGACTTGGGTTCTGGAGCCGGCCAGCCTGGGCTCAAATCTCAGAACTACCCCTTTGAAGAGCAGTGCTCTTGGGGCGCCTGGGTGGCTCCGTCGGTGAAGCGTCCGACTTCGGCTCAGGTCACGATCTCACGGTCCGTGAGTTCGAGCCCCGCGTCGGGCTCTGTGCGGACCGCTCAGAGCCTGGAGCCTGTTTCAGATTCTGTGTCTCCCCCTCTCTCCGCCCCTCCCCCATTCATGGTCTGTCTCTGTCTCAAAAACAAAATAAACATTAAAAAAAAAAAAAAAAAAGGCAGTGTCCGGTGGGAGGACAATCGAGCTCTCCAACTGGGAAGACCTCTCTGGCCCACCCCTCCCGCGTGAACACACACACACACACACACACACACACTCCTGCAGCCAAACTGAGCTGTGTTCACTGAAGGTGCTGGGCCCTGTCCCTTTGCTCATCCGCCCTCTTCCTTTCTGTCTCCAACCTTTCCGTATTTTTCATAACTAGTCAAAACCCAGCTTATCTGTTGCCGCCGCCTCCAGGAAGCCCTCCTTGCCCACCCCCCAGGCTGGGTCAGTGTCCCCTCTGACACCGTAGGCGTGAGCATCCCTCCATCTCCGTGGGGAGACGTCTCTCTCTTGGTCTGTTCCCCCGCCCCGGACTAAGAACAGTTCAAGAGCAGGGCACATGTGTGATCCTCTCTGGGTCCCCAGCATCCAGCTCAGGCCAGGCACAGAGTAGATGCTGAGGAAGAGAATAAGTGAGCTGAGGTCCCGAAAAACTCAAACACCTGCAAAGCAAGATCCACTTGGGACCCCGGGGAAGCAGGATGCCCGGCCACCTACCGCGTCTCTCCAGGAACCTGAGGGCGTCCAGGTAGCCTTGTCTGCAATTGTCAGCTACCATCTGCCAACACACAGGTCAGGGTGGGATGAGGAAGGCCCGGACCCGCCCCTCGAGCTGGCAGTTCGTAGGCCAGAGACCCGTCTTCAACCGGAAGCAATCCCTGCCCAGCCCACGCTCCCAAGAGGCCCCTCAGCAGGGTTCAAGGCCCCCACTGCTGGACGGGGACTGCTTCCAGTTGAAGATCTGCGATCTGTTCAAGCTGCTTCCCTCCCCATGACCCCGTGTCACCTCCCTCCTCTAAGACTCCTCGGCGGGAAGGGGGGGGCTCCTGCTCCAGACTCTCCTCTCTCTGGTCTCAGTTCCCTCCTCTGGAAAATGGGATAACTCGGCCCAGGTCAGGATGCCTGGGACATCGTCTGGTTCCCTGTTGGTCAATGCATGGTCCTTTGGTGTTTATTTCCAGAACCAGCCTGAGACGGCAGAGGAAACTGGGGGCCCACCCCTGCCTGTCTCAATCAGAGCTCCCCTAGCGGGGAAAAGGCACCTATCGGGCCCGAAGGGAGCTCCACCTTCCCACGCTATGGGGCCTTGGAAAGGCCACGCCACCTTTCTGAGAGCCTCAGCTTTTCCTTGACTGTAAGATGGGGCTGAGATTTTTTGCCCACCCCACAGGTATAGGGGAGATGAGAGGACGGGAACATGAACTTGTGTCATAGATTATAAAACACGACAGGACCGAGGTGCCTGGCTGGCTCAGTCAGTAGAGCGCGTGGCTCTTGATCTCGGGGCTGAGTTCGAGCCCCTGGTGTGGCACGGAGTTTACTTAAAGTAAAAAACCAAACAAAATAAAACACGACAGAACCAAAACACGTCTGAAGGAACAGGGGAGGCCAAGGCACGGTTGGGTGTGTTATGGGGATAAACCATTTGCTGTCAAATTCCCCATTTCCCCAAAATACCAGGGGAAAAAAAAGCAGGAAATGTAAGTCTACTGTCCACCTTTGTCTGTGTTTCTGCCTCACCTCCACGGGGATGGTCAATCTGGCCACAGTCTAGGGTGGTGGCGGTTCAGAGCACGGGTCTGGGCTAGCTGAGGATTTGGAACCTGGCTTTGCTGCTTCTGGGCTGTATGACTCTGAACAGGTGGCTTAACCTCTCTGAGCCTTGGTGTCCTCCCCTGAGAAAGGAGACGGTAACAGTACCTTCTCACAGAGCCTGACCCAGGGAAGTATCCGCAGAGGCCTGGCTCAACCCCAAGCTGGGGAGAGTTGGCCTTAGCATGCCTCATTGATATGGGCCCAGTCCCAACTCAAGACTTGCTCGGGCAGGGGAAGGAGAGTATGGGCACCACCTGAGCCCCGAGTTGTGGGTTCAAGGGCTCAGACGTAAGACTCGGGACGTGTATCCTAACTTCCTTGAGGTGGCGGGGAGGGTGTGGGGACACAGTCTGACTCAGAGGACCCTTGATCATGGCCAAGCCTCTTATACCTTCCAGGCGGGTGCCGGGGCCAGACCTACCTCAGGGCTGGGGGATATGAGGGAGGCAAACCCCAGGAAGAAGTTCTTGGTGCATATCTGGAAACTCGTATTGAAGGTGTTCAGCTCGTGAATGCTGGCCGAGGTGCTCTGGGGGCAGATGTCCACTGTCCCGTGGAAAGGGGACACGGTGATGGTGGAGGGAGAGTCCGCGAAGGGCAGGTTGTTGCTCAGGCCCCCGTCAAAGTAGCGCTGCAATTCGGGTGGGCCGTCTGCTCAGGATGCCTGCCCTCTCCCCATACCGCCATGGAGCCACCGGCCAGAAATGGGCTGCGGCCGGTGACCTCCAGCTGCCCCGGATCCACTGGGTCCACCGGAGCCCAGGATGTTCTGAGCACCGCCCCCCAGGAGCAGGGAATCTGGGGTGGAGGGCTGGCACGCAGCCTCAAGAGGCACGGGTTCCCTCCCCCCACACGGCTGTCAGCGCTAGGAACACTGGGCCACCCAGAGCACGGGGCAGGGACTCAGTCATTAAGCCCCCCAAGTGCACTTACCTCCCCTCTGAATTCGGGGGGGATCGTCCCACAGTAGAAAGGAATGTATAAAGTACAGACCAGAGCCTGGGAAAACGAGTAAGTGGAAACACAATTGTTCACACTCCTGCTGTTCGGAACCTGCTCGGGGCAGAGCAGCCTGCGAAGTATGCGGCCTGAGTTTTGTGCTCAGGGAAGGGAAATGAGGCCCAGAGAGGTGTCACGTCCCAGCTGAGCTCTCAAGGTCAAGAAGGTACTTGAAGGCAAGCCTGTCATGACACCCACCCTCGTCTTCCTGCCGATGGGTCCTTGCTCACTCGAAACTGCTGCTGGGACTTCCCTTTCCCCCAAGGACAAACAGAGGCACCAAGTACCCATTTCCCCTTCACCCAGCGGGCAGGAACTCTCCACCAACAATCTAGATATGCCTCCCACGGTGTGCTCCCTGAACACCGATTCAGCCAGAGGCATCTCAAATAAGAAACCCTGACTTCCGGTTAAGCGTAAGACTCTTGGTTTCAGCTCAGGTCGTGATCTCATGGCGGATCGTTGAGTTTGAGCCCCGCATCGGACTCCACAATGACAGTGCAAAGCCTGCTTGGGATTCTTTCTCTGTCTCTGCCCCTCCCCCACTCATGTTCTTTGTTTCTCTCTCTCTCTCTCTCTCACTTCTCTCTCAATAAATAAATAACCTTAAAAGGGGCGCCTGGGTGGCTCAGTCAGTTAAGCATCCGACTCTTGATTTTGGCTCAGGTCATGATCTCACGGTTCAGGAGTTGGAGCCCCAAGTCAGTCCCTGAGCTGACGGCATAGAGCCTGCTTGGGATTTTCTCCCTCTCTCTTAAAATAAATAAATAAACATTTAAAAAAGAAGAAGAAGAAACCCTGACTTATTTACCCACTTGGGAAACACTGTGTCCACTCTTCCCATGCCCAGGACCATGCCCAGGAAATGGGAGCAGCAGAAATCTGCGGGTGCCGGGGACAGGAGGAGAGGGTCCTCAGCCACCCAGGGGGTCTGCCCACGCCCGTCCCAAAGACTTGACCTCCTTCCCGGGTGTCTCCCCCTCTCCATCTCAGATTTTCTGTGCCCTTCCCAGCAGAGGCTCTGACAAATCCTGCAGTGAAAACGATGCTTAACATATTGACATTGGGGGCTTGTGAGTGGGAGATGGGGTGGGAGGGGGCTGTCCTGAACACCGTGGGATATTTAGCAGCATCCTCGGCCTCTACCCACGAAGTGTCAGTACTTTGTGCCCCCCGCACAGAGCTGTGATAACCAAAAATGCCTCCAACGTTGCCAGATGTCACTAGGGGGTGGGATGGGGAGGCAAAAGAATCACCCCTGGTTGAGAAACACTGATGTAGAGCTTACCAAACTCATCAAGCATGGAACCTTGTCTCGAGGTCTCCTTGGAAATATGCCTCCAACCCTCTCTGGGAAATGCAGAAGGCATCCTGTCCCTAACCAGTAGGAAATGCAAGTGGGAGCCTTGTTCGCACAGATAACAGTGACAGCAGCTAATGTTTACTAAGTACCTATTATGTGCCAGGTCCTGTGCTATGTGCCATACAGGCAAAGACATTGGGACACCCTTTAGGTGTCAGTGACATCAAGAGCCAGTGGACATCAAGACACAGCAAGGGACTGGCCCCTCTCTTGTACACATGACGAATTCCAATCAGCACAGAGGCACAGACTCAGAAACAGTCCCCATGCTGGGGGCTGGGGGCTGGGGTCAGCAAGGTGAAGCAGGTTCTGCATTAGGGCTCCCAGTCTGGGTGGAAGGCACAGACCCTAACAGGAAGGGAAGGCACAGCTGCGATGGGGGAGCTGAGGCCCTCCAGGGTAGGGACCTGCCTCCCTACCTGCCTGAGCTCTCCCGGGGACCCAACCCCTACTGAGCCTGCCTGCACACCCCCACAGCCTGTCACCGGCCTCTCTTCCCGACCTGTGGCTCTCTGTCACAACCTCCTGTTTTATAACAATACTGGATTGTTTCCTCTTCCATCGTGGGCAGGCACACCTCTGGAAAAGCAGCCCCTTCAGGGGCCCTGAGCACAGAAGCCTGACTTTGCCCCCTCCCCGGCCATACCCTTCTCTGTGTGCAGCCATGGGGCCTTCCCAAAGCAAGCCGGGAGTATGGGCACTCCGCACTCACCCTGTGGCTCCTCTCTGCACCTCCACTGTCTTGTTTGTAAGCAAACCCAAGCCTAAGGTCACCCCACCCCCAAGGAGTGTCTGCCCCTGGAAAGCACCTGAAAGTCCCTGGTAGGAGATGGGGCCCAGTCCCCTGTCTCCAGGGCCCGGGTCCCACCCCTGCTCTCACCTGGATGACTTCCCTGCGGCTCGCGAAGTCGGTGACTATGATGTTGTGGCCATCGGGCCAGCGGGTCAGCGAGATGCCCAGCCGCTGGGAGGCCAGGACATGAATGTCGGTGGGCAGTAAGTCCTGCAGCTGCTGTCTGATGTGCTCGATGGGCGCGAAGGCAGGGTGGAAGATACCCAGGCTGAGGCGCTCCACCTGCTTGACCATGCCCAGTACTTGGGAGCAGCAGAAATCTGCGGGTGCGGGGGACAGGAGGAGAGGGTCCTCAGCCACCCAGGGGGTCTGCCCACGTGCGTCCCAAAGACTTGACCTCCTTCCCGGGTGTCTCCCCCTCTCCATCTCAGATTTTCTGTGCCCAGCCCTGCGTTCCAATGCTCCGTCCACCTTGTGATCTCGGGAGCAGGATCCCCAGCTCTGCTCGGTCCTCTGCGAAACAAGGGTAACCACAGCCCCGAGTCCTCAGGGTTCTCATAAGGCTTAGATGGGAGCATGCTGGATGCAAAGGGCGCAGGCCCCAGCGCCCGGCACGAGGCCCCGAAACGCCCCTCTCGGCGCCCTCCATCCCGCGTGGAGCCAGCGTCCCGCCGCGCTCCTCGCCCGCGCCGTCCCCCGCGCACCGACGGTCTTGCCGGAGACGATGCTGAGGGCGTTGAGCGCCCCGGACGAGGAGCCGTAGAAGCGGCGGGCGCCCCGGAGGAGGTGCGGGGCGCGCTCCCTGAGGCAGCTGGTCACACCCACGTGGTAGAGCCCCAGGAAGCCGGCGCCCGAGAAGGACAGGCTCCAGCTGCCCTCCTCCTCGTAGCAGTGCATGGCGGTCGGGGCCGCCGGGCTGGGGTCGGGACGGAGACGGGCCGGGCCGCCGCACGGGGACAGTCAGCGCTGGAGAGGAGAGGTCGCTCCGAAGAAAAGCTCTGGCGGGAGCCGGGGCCCCGCCCTACGTGCACCTGCCCCGCCCCGTGCACCTGCCCTGCCCCGTGCACCTGCCCCGCCCCGGGCTGGGTCGCCCGCCGCCCCAGCCAATGAGGTTCCAGGGCCGCGATGCCCCGCCCTCAGGGGTGTGGCAGGTTTGACCCCGTCGTACCAGGTCGCTGGGCGGACTCCGGAGACGCCCCACGACCCCCACCGCTGCGGTACGGGGGTGACCGGTCACGGCCCCAGGTCGCGGGGTGACCGGCCCGGGGGGTGGGGAATGGCACCAGCTTTTCGCCTGATCCCTGGAAGCATTGACAGAAGCATTTCTCCCGCCCCCATTTTACAGATGAGGGAACTGAGGGCGGGGAAGGCAAATAAGAACCGGGATGTGGCAGAGCTGGACCCACACTGGGTCTTGGGGGTCAAGCCAGACTTCACTCTGCAGCTGTGCTAGTTCAAGGCCCAGGCACAGGCAGAGCCAGCCCCCGCCAGCGGTGCGGCTTTGCCCAAACTACCCACTCTCTCTGGGCTACAGTTTTTCAGCGTGATAGGAGGCGCTTGGGCGCCAGCCTTCTCTGCTCTGATCGCTGCTTCTCTGGCCCAGACTCACCATCGACTGGCCCAGCCCGGGGGTGGGGTCGCAACGGGCGCAGCAGACACAAGCACTGTGCCGAGCGTTCTTTGTAGTCACCCTCACAGAGTCGCGTGGGTCAGGATCACCGTGTCTACGCCCATTTGTGGACCCTGAGCCCTGGAGAAGCTTGGGCGCGGGTACGGCCACAAAGTGCTTCCAAGAAAACTTGCCCACAGCCTGTAAACGGGGCCAGTGAGTGGTTCTGTAAGTCAAGCAGGCAACGAGTGAAATTAAATACCCCCCGCAAATTACTGATATGTTCACCGGCGTGTGGCAGACACGGAGGTGGGCGGAAGCATTGCTTGTGGCTGCGGGCGTAGGTGACTCTCCCTCCCTCCTGCCCCCTTCCCGGTGGAACGGATGAGTAGCCACAACGGGACATTCGGGAAAGGTCGCAGAGCCTCAGAAGTGAGGAGCGAAAGAACAATGGGGTTGATTGACTGCCTGGCTTCATTTACGCAAACATTTAAAAACACTCCCAAAGCATTACCATGTCTTTTTAGAATGAAATTCTGAGAGCCTGGGAGATGGCTCTATATATTAGAGGGTGTGCTAGCGGGAAGTGGAAGGCTAGGGAAACAGAGATCAGGGATGGACAATGGGTAAAATAGTACAGCAAACCCGATGGTGTGCACCCAAGTTGCTAAAAAGAAGCTGAGGGGACGCGGCCGGGAAACAGCAGCCAGACTTGCACCGAGGCTCAGGCCCGCCCTGCCCCACTCCCAGACCGAGCAGGGGGCAGACCAGTGGGCTAGACCTTCCTGGACTCACCTAACTCTGGGGGCCTCTCTCCTTGGAGGTGGGAGCTGGGAAGTCAGGAGAGGCTTCACGGGTGGGCAACCTGACCCTGGGCTGAGTGTTTTTCCTAGGCTGTCGCATTTTATCCTCGCCACAGCCCTTTGAGACGGAAAGTCCTGCCAACCCCATTTTGCCGATGAAGAAATGGAGACAGAAACCAGGAACCCAAGAGAGCCCAGCCAGTAAGGTTGGAGCTCCACTCGTGTCCCTGCTGCCTTAACGGGGGGGGGGGGGGCGCAGGCAGTAGAGGGGGGGCCGCCTAAGTTTCAGGCCGCAGGGGTCCCCAGGGACCAGGCTGGTGGGCATGAGGTTTCATGACTCAGGGAGTGCGCAGGTGTCTCTGCAAGCATCAGGGAAGAACCGTGCTTCTGGAAAAATCCCGGAAGGCGGAACCTGGAGCATCTTCTCAGGCCGAAAAGCAAGAAGTATTCCAAAAATGATGAGGACTCGTCCAAAGGATACAGAAGCCAGCTTGGAGGGGGTTTCACTGGCTAAATCCAGCACGATTTGAACATCAAAACAAATAATGTTAATAAGAGAATGTTCACGGGGCGCCTGGGCAGCTCAGTCAGTTAAGCATCAGACTCTTGATTTCGGCTCAGGTTATGATCTCATGGTTCCTGAGATCGGGCCCTATTTTGGGCTCTATGCTGACAGTGAAGAGCCTGCTTGGGATTATCTCTCTCTCTCTCTCTCTGCCCTTCCCCCTGCTGGTGTGCTTACTCTTGCTCTCTCTCTCTCTCTCTCTCTCTCTCTCTCTCAAATAAAATATATATTAAAAAAAATTAAGCCTGCTTGGTTTAAACTGATGGAACCAAACCACCTTGTGCATGGGGTGCAGTGCTCTGTTCTGGTGTCAGAAAGTCACAATTCAGCCCGTCATTTCCCTTCCGTACAGGCCTGGCAACGGTTCATGGTGTTCCGTCGCGTCCTTCTCTGGCCCAGCAGCCCTGCGTGTATTTTCTGCAGCTTATGTGTGTGGCCTCGTTCTCCTAAGAGCATCAGTCGTTCACGTTTGGGACGGGAGCCAGATCATCCCTGTGCCCTCTGGTCTTAGTCCTTATTTATTTATTTTTTAATGTGTATTCATTTTTGAGAGACAGAGAGAGACAGAGCACAAGCAGGGGAGGGGCAGAGAGAGTGAAGGAGACAGAATCTGAAGCAGCTCGAGGCTCCGAGCTGTCAGCACAGAGCCCGGCGCGGGGCGCGAACCCACGAACCGCGAGACCATGACCTGAGCCGAAGTCGGACGCTTAACCGACTGAGCCACCCAGGC